AGCAGTGGGGATATTATACACAAGACACTCAGCACAGAGCCTGGCACCCAGCAGCCACTGGGAACAGCAGTCGGTCCCAGCCCCTTTCTTGCATATTTCTGCCGTGGCTGCTGGATCCCTTGGTAAGACAGAGGCTTGCCCGAGAGCCCGGGACCTGCCAGGATGTTGTCATCTTCTTAACCCAGTTTTGCTCAAGTCTCAGCTTTCGTAATTTCTCCAAGATGGCTCCCCACCTGGGAAAGCCCAACCTTCTGATCCTTGAACTGAGTTCCTGAACCCACCCATTCCATCCCTGCCATGTTCCCGTTTCCAGTTTGCTCCTAATCTGGCCCTTGTTCCCCCGACACTCCCCAGCCCCAGGCCATGTGAGATAGAGCCAGACAACCGAAAATGGAACTCAGTCATACACACGGGAAAAAAAAAGGTTATGAAAATGAAAAGTAAATAAATATGGATGTTGAGGACCTAATTCTGATAAGCCGATTTTCGAAATTAGCCATTTGCAAGAGTAGATTAAATGCATTTAATGTGGTGGGTGGAAGGAAGTCGATTAAGATGCATAGCAAACCCCATTTCAGCACATTCTGGGGAGAAAGCTTTGCAGGCCCCCTTTGCGGTGAGCTTGTTTGCTGGGATAAGTGCTGAATGCCTTTTAAGGGCACTAATTTGCTGTTGTTGTGCTGGTAAACAGGCCTCCTGGAAAGGGGCCACTCCTGCCTTCTGTACACCAGGCGACGAGGTAGATGGGCAGGACAGAGAGGAGACCGCTGTGGGGCGGGGCTGCCGAGGGGCCGGATCCGGGGGCGTGGGGGACCACTCGCTGTCTGCAGGGATGCAGGAAAGCGCCAAGGACAAAAGAAAGACACTGACTTCCCCATCACCTTCCCCAACCCCCCGCACCCCCCCCTCAGTCCTCTGCAGGGAGAATTCTGATCCCAGAATCCCTTGCAGCTCCTTCCATGGCAACAGCCGCCCTCCCTCCCGCGCTGCCTCTGCCGCCTTCCTCCCTGCTCCTTCTCCCTGCAGCCCACTCCGGTCCCCAGAGCCAGGCCTCCCGAGCGGGTTGGCACACCCTTTGGGCAGGTGGCCAGTCCGTCCATCCGAGGAGGAGGAGCAAGTAGGCCTTCACTAACGCAAACACCAAGCCCCGCCAGGGCTGGACCCCCCGAATGGCCAGGCTCTGTCCTTCCTGGGGGCACCGTATTCAAGGACCTCTGAAAAGAGCTCTGAAAAGCTCTGGCTGGAGCTAGGTTTGAGGAAACAAAGGAGAGAAGGAATATTTTTTACTGTCACCCGGTGGCAGAGAGGCAGAGAAGCCAGCGATTTAAACACGAGCGCATCCTGACATCTTCCAATGGGCCCCAGCGCCCAAAGTGTGGACCCCACAAGTTCCTTACAGGACTCGAAGCCCCAGGTCACCATGGGACCTAATGCCACAGGTCCTGCAAGCCGTGCGCGCTGCTGCCCGCTCCCGCACTGCTCCTCCCTCCTGAGGCTCCTGCCACATCAGCCATCTTTCTGTCCCCTTAGCACTCCACGCATTCCTGCCGGAGACCTTTGAACTTGCCGTTCTCTGCCTGGGAGGCTCGCTGCCATTTACACCAGGCCGGGAACTCGGCATTGAGTCTCCACTCAAATGCCAGCTCCCCAGAGAGGCAGCCCTCCTCCCGCTGTCACTATCAGGCCCCCTTTCCTTGCCTTCACAACAGGTGTCGCTATTTGCAACCACTCTGTTCTGCTGATTTGTCTGTGAGTTCCTGCGCGCCCTCGTCCTGTGAGGGCCTCGTCTGGCTGGGAGCCTGCGTGCTGGCACCGAGAAGGGACTTGCCCCAGATCATGCGGGGGCAGGTGGTGAAGCCAGGATGGGAGCCTCGTGTGTCGGCTCAGAGCCTTTCCCACCCGACAAGTCCCACCTCCTGCTGCTGGAAGAGGATGGGGACCAGCCTGGGGACAGCTCCCATCTGTAGTGGCTCCTCTCTGAGCTGCTCTCAGGGAACCAGAGGCAAGGTGCCTGCCGCCCCTTGGAGGCCGCTCAGGGGAGGCGGCCTCTGCTCCTCTCCCATCTCACGGCTGAGGTGCCCAGCCAGACTCCCACAGCTCGTCAGCAGAAAAGATGGGGCTCAACCCCAGGCAACCCGGGGTAGGCAGGAGGAAGTTGAGGGGGCTCTGTTGCCAGAGCGTGACATCTCAGTCTAGGGGAGTGGGTCTTAAACATTTCGAAGCGTGAGACTCTCTGGAGTCACCGTGTGAAAGGTCCATTTCGTGGCCCTGCCCCGTGACTCTCACTCGGCAGGACTGAGGTGGGGCCCTGGAATCTGCATGTTTTTAAGTGCCCCAGGTGACTCAGATACAGGCGCTACAGGGGGACCCCCACACTTTGATGGGGGGGTCCTAGCCAGAGACCAGAGGAGCCACTGCTGTGATGTTCCCTCCAAGGCCATCACCGCCCCCCCATCTCCAGCCCAGCTCCCTCCCCGTCCTCTCCAGAGGGAGGTGGCGAGGCCCGATGGATGCAACAGCAGCCTGGCTGTGGTCAGCTGACGGAATCTGAAAGTCCTCTGTGTGGCTTCCTGCGAGGTGGGCGGGGTGGGTGGACAGGAAGAAGGAAGGACATCTGGTCAAGTCCTTTCCTGTCGTCCCTGCACCTGAGCAGGACCCCCGAGGGCGATGCAGTCCCCATCGGCAGTGACATGAGCAGGGGCTGGATAGGAAGCCTGGTGTCAAGGGACAGGGCTGCCTTCCAAAAGTGTGACTCGGGTTCAAAGGAGAAGGGCCCCTTCCTCACGGCCCCGAGGAGGTCGTGTGCTGACCGGGAGCCCCCTCAGCTCCCCACTTGGGAAGGGCCTCCTCAGGCAGCCCCTGGCCCTTCTTCTGCCCAGCCCTGCTCCAGCCGAGGTGAGGGTGAGGTCTGGGTAGGGCCCTCAGAACCAGGGTTCCCCTGCTCCCCAGCAGGGGAACGAGCCTGACTGTCCCCACCTCGCTGTGAAGAAAGGATGCTGGCTCTGCATGGTGCTCCAGGAGCTGGCTCCCCAGGGCGCTCCGGAGAGGGGCCTGGTGGTGGGGGGGTGGGGGCATTGTGGCCGCAGCCGCCCGTGCCGTCCCCAGTACAGACGCTGGTCTGTTTGTTAGGGTGACTCTTCTCACTGCTTGACGGTCACGTTTCTTGAAGGACTGGAGCTGCAGTGGGTGGAGGAGCGGGTTGGAAACCAGAAGTACAGTGAACATTTACTGGGGAGCCACCTCACACTGGGCTGTAGGCTGAGTGCTGGACAGGGTCGTCTTCCCTGCTTAAAGCTCCAGGGCACCAAGTGCTACAGCTGCCCCCACGGCACGGATTGGGAAACCGAGGCCAGAGAGGCGGCCAGCTGGGAGACCCTGGAGCCTGGCCTCCCACCCTCCTCCAGGCCTCCCGGGCCTGTGCAGGTGAGGACAGGAAGCTGCCCAGCGCAGTGGGTTTGGCTCCTGCGGAAGCCGTGAGCTGGCCCACGTCCAGGTACCAGTGGGAGCAGCGCTGAGGATCACGGGACGCCTGGTGCTGAGAGCCAGTTGCTAGAATGTGGAGGTGGGAGTAGCTGCTGCCTCTGGTTCCTGGTGGCCCCCAGCTCCTCCCTCCAGGCCACTCTCGCCTCCCTGGGCCTCCAGGGCCCCCCTGGACCTGCCCCGTCTCGTGGCTGGCCACAGCTCCGGTGGATCAGCGCATGGCCCTTAAGGTTGCTAATTATTTTGACTGTCACCTTGGCTTTCAGGAGAGGATTTGTCACAGATCTGACCCAAAGTCCTCCCTAAGCCGTGGAAATCTATCTCCGCGGAGGCTGCCTGCCTGGCTCAGCAGAAAGACCCTGGGGAGCCTCAGACCCTCACAGAGCGAAACTATACTCTTTCTAAGCCTCAGTTTCCTTCTCTATAGAAACAACAACAGAGGATCATGCCTCCGGCCTGCCTCACCGAGGACCCTCGAGGTAGCTTGGGTAGGCCACAAGGCTCTCGCCTCTCTCGCCTCCTGCAGAAGCGGACTCGGCTCCCACCCCCACCCCAACCCTTTCCTTTGTGATGACCAATATTTCAACATTAGTCTTCAGCTCTGAGCAAGAGCAAAAATCATTAGAATGTTTCATCAGGGACCTGCTTTCATCTGTATTTGCTGAAACCCAGCCCGAGGTCTCTGCATGTGTTATTTGTATTTTTCCTTTGTCACCGATGAGCTGGTTTCTGAATCCAGTTGCCTGTGTATGAGGGAAGCTCGGGCCTCCATACGGTGCTCCAACTGGCCTTCTCCGGCCCACACACCGGGGAGAGGGAACTGAGATTCCAGATGGCCTAGGGAGCCACGCGGGATGGAGGAGAGGAGGGAGAGACGGGAGGGAGAGGGAGCCTCGAGTGCTGAGATAAACAAATTCGGGGCCAATTACCCGTGGCAACCTTGCCCCCCAAGGAGGGGAGATGGCCGGAAAAATATGAAAATAATATTGAACCAACCACATGACGGAGGAAGTTTGCACCCAGCTGGGAATTTGCTGCCACCCCTCCCCTTCCTCCTGCAGTAGAGGGCAGGAGAAAATTCCAGAACCAAACAGGACAAGGAGGTTGGCAGAGCGGTCTGTGAAGCTAACAAGTACAAAACATGGTTAGGAGGGAGGGGTCTGTGGTTAGGAAAGAGGAGAGAGAGGGTGAGAGCAAGCTCCTTGAGCCACGATCCTGGGCACCCCTCACCACCACTCTGCGCCCCCACCTGCAGCGCCTGCTGGCTAACGAGGCCCAGGTCTGTTCCAGGCACAGGGCGCTCCCTTCCTGCAGAAGCTCTTTTTGTCCTTGAGCAGGTAGTGACAGATAGAGAAGCCAGCTCCGAGCAGGGAGGTAAGTAGCCCAGGGTCACCCAGAGAATTAATATCATAATTGAGAATAACAACTAGGCCTCCTATTTACTAGATAAAATAGTGCCAGGGGACATGCTGAGAGAGACAGGAAAATAGAATTTAAAATCATTTTTTATTTCTCTGCAAACATAGTTGGTGTTGCATTTTTCCCTTCCCTTCCCCGGAGAGGCCGGAGCTGGCACTATCTTTTCCCATCCATGCGTGGACGCCAAGACCCCAAGATCCCCCAGGCTCCACTCCTCCCACCTGCCAGGGCAGTTTCTCAGTAGGATCCAGGGACGGGCTGCAGAGGCTCACCAGGGGTGGCGCTGGCATGGCCACCAAGTTCACTCCAGGGCCACCCCAGAAGGTCGGAAGCACACCCAGCTCTCCCTGCACCAGGAGCTCAGGATGGTGGAGGGACGGCGGTTCAAACCCCAGCTCTGCTGCACCAGGGCCTGAGCCTCGATCTTCCCTCTTTGTAAGGTGAGCCAGCTCTCGAAAAGTTCTTACGAACATCAGGTGCCACCAGCGGGACCGAGAGCCTGGGTGCACTCCCCGTGCCTGGATGACCGTGCTGCCAGAGCCGTCGCGACCACACACAGCGTTAAACCAGGAAGGGCCTTCAGGGCAATGTATGTGAGAACTTTCAAGAGCTATGAATTAACTGGAGGGTGTTAACTGTAGAAATAAAATAATAGAAGAAAATTACCCCTGAAGAATTAGAACAAAACAATTAGTGAGAAAGAAAATGGATTAGAGGAAGAGAAAGGCACATGCAAATAGCCGTCGCGTGGAGCCCCAGGAAAGCACAGCCCACTGTCGGGTGCTGGAGCTGCCATGCAAGGCCGAGGGGAAGTGAGAAACAGAGGCCCGCAACCAAACGGAGCCCAGGCCGCGCAGTAAGACCAGGTTCCCAAGCAGGGGGCAGACGGGAGGTGAGGGACAATCAGGTGTGGATTCTGGTTTCTCTTCTGCATTTGCTGGCTGTGACCTTGAGTACATCCCTGAGCAGATCTCGGAGTCTAAGTGCTCGGGAATATCGGGGGCAGGGAAGCAGGGACAGGCTGGACCAGGAGGGGATGGAAGGGACTTGGAATAAAACAGAACGAGGCTGGAGTCCTCTCTGGGTGTATGGCTTGGGCAAGTTCCTCTAGTTCAGTGTTCTCATCTGTCAAATGGGCAGAAGAGTGTCTGCAGAGGCTGCTGAGCAGGGTGAGTGCACAAAGCTTGTGACGCAGGCTGAGCATCCTTATGAACCAGAATTCTGCTTGCTGCCTAACCAGATCGGCCCTGCTCTGGGCCCCCAACTCTCTGAGAGGCTTGGATAAACTGATGCCCTCCCCACCTGACTTGGCCCCTTGGAGTGCACCAAGACAATCATACTCTATCCCCGAGGCCACAGTGACTGATTTGGGGAACAGGCACATGACCTAACCCAGATCAATCAGAATCTCAGGACTTTTGCAGGGAACGCCTGGCCAAAGACATGCTCTTCTCTCCATGTTAAACAGGAGGCGTGTGGTGTCAGGAACAATTAAATGTTCTCACAGGGAGTCCTGGATCCAGCCATATCTGAAGCTATATAGATTACCATACGAGCTGACATATTCCCTTGTTTGCTAAAGCCAGCTTGGGTCCTGGCTTATTCTCAGCCACTACTTAGTAAAGCCTCTCCCATCCCACCAAATCACCAGCTCATTTGAATTTGAGATTTTCTTATAAGTGCCATTGCCTGGCTCCAGGGTAGGAACTTTCAGCTCAAGTGTGCTCCATCATCTCAGCAGCAGCAGGCACAGGGTTGTCAAACTTGGCCACTGCTGCCCGGTACAGCCACTCCTCCTACTCAGGAGCTCCGTGCACTCGCCTCGCTGTTCAGCATCTCCAGGAGCAGCCTCCTCTCAGCTCTGCGCCCCTGTGCAGCCGGGCTGAGAGCTGCGTTAAATAAAGACTGCAGTCCTGAAACTGCTTAAACGGATCTACATCAACGAGGACAGGACAGCGAGGGGAGGCCTTTAAATAGATTCTCGCCAAGAGCCAGCACCAGCAGGCCAAGCGCCTTCAGCCTTATTCTCCCCTTGTCCCAATGCGCCCTGTGTCTACCTTACCAGGCCTCACCCCAAATCCCGTCATAAACTGATTCACACAGTAGTACACGTTTCCCCTGTAGTTTAAGAGAGGAACGAAACAGAGGGTTGGCAACGACTAGCCCTGGGTTCCAGCCTCCAGCTCAGTGAGGACTGAATGCCAGGCATCTTAAAGCCACAACAGAACCTGAACCACGTGACCGAGGACAGAGGAGCTTCTCCAATCCACCTCAAGCCGCATCACCCGGCCACACGGTCCCCATAACTTCTTTCACTGACTGCAAACCCTCATCCTTCCTTTCTCCTTGGAGGCTGTCAAAGTCCATTCCGTGCCGAGTCCAGTTCGGGTTTGTGTGCGTCCTCCTCCTCCGGCAGGGCTGGAGCAGGCCGGAGCCCGTCTCAGCAGGGCTGCCTGCTTGGCCAGGGGTGGGATCCAGCACTGGCTGCAGGACCTTGAAGGACAACTTCCAGGGCTGGCCCCCCGGGATATCAGGGTTTCCCTGGGGCGAGGTTGCTACAGTCCCCACTGCATGGCCAGGTGCTCCAAACCCCCACCAGAGAGCCAGGTGTCCCCCTGACAGCACTCAGGGCTCTGACTACCATCCAGCCCTAAGAGCCACAGGTGCATCCTCTCTGCTGATCCTCAAAACCAGCCTATGAAGTAGGTACTATGACTATCTCCATTTTACAGACCGGGAAGGTGAGGACCAGAGAGGTCAAGTAGCCTGCTCTATGTCACCTAGCCAGCGAGCTATAGAGCCAGGACTGAAGCCCAGGGAGGCTGCCTCCAGAGCCCAAGGCCTGGACCCCGACACTCGCCGTACTGCCTGTTAAGCCCTGTATTTATATCCAGCTAGATGTGGCCGTCGCTGTTTATTGCCTCCCACACGCTAGGCACTGAGCTGGGAAGATTACTCTCCATTTCATTTTCTCTTCATAACCACCCTTCAGGTCAGGCCCGTGAGCCCCACTTCACAGACGAGGATGCTGAGGGTGGGACAGGAGACCTCGGATCGCTCAGCTCGTGAATCGCCCAGCTGGGATTCAAACTCGGGCCCGTCGATTCCAACATCCATGTGCTCTGCCATTTAGGGTCCCAGAACTGCTGGGTTGCGAACCTGCAAAGAACTTTTTATTCTGGAATTATTATAGATTCACAGGAAGTGGCAAAGACAGTGTAGAGAGGTCCCCTGTACCCCGCACGCAGTGCCCCTGGCAGTTGCATCCTATAACTCTAGGACGAAACCAGGACTGGGAAATGGGCGTCAGCACCGTGTGTGCGCAGCGTCCCGTCATTTTATTGTCCGTGGAGCTTCCTGAAATCACCCCGCACTCAAGATACGGCACTGTGCCTTCACCTCAACGACGTCCCTCATGCTGGTCCCTCATGGCCACCCCCTGCACCTTCCCTCACCTCGGCCACCAGTATCTGCTTGCCATCTCTGTAACCGCCATATCAAGAATGTCGTGTAAATGGCATCAGATGATATGTCAGCTCCCGAGAATGGCTTTTTTCACTCACAAAGGCCTTATTTTAAAATAAATATTTACTGAGAACCTCCTGCATATCAGGTAGGTGTGATTCCCTTTCAGGAATATATCACGTAAGACTCTTTTGGTTTCCAGCGACAGAACCCAACTCCAACTGTATTGTACAAGGGGATGTATTGGCATTGGTAATAGGAAAGTCCAGAGGTGGGGCTGGCTTCAGGCCCAGCTGGATCTAGGGGCTTGTTAGGACTGCTCTCATTTTCCATGTCTTGGCTCTGCTCTCCTTTCTGCTGGTTTCCCTAGAAGCCTGGCTCTCACCACTTGGCAGCTGCTGGTAGCTCTGGTCCTGCAGGCTACTCGCTCACAGGCCCAGGGGAAAGGAGCACCCTTTTCTTAGACAAGTTCCAGCAAAGGTTCTGGCCCTGATTGGCCCAGCTTGGTGCCCACCTGACCCTGAACCAATCTCTGGTGGGGGGGAGGGGTGGCAAAGAGGGTTGCTGTGCTCTGATTGGCTAATTTCTGATCATGTGCCCCCTCCTGGAGCCAATCCTGGTGTCAGCCCTGCCCAGATCACAGGAATCGCGGGGAAGGGCTTAAGGAAACTTCGGGGTGCTGCTGCTAGAAGAAGGGGAGTAAGTGCCGGGCCCAGGGGAGACGTGGTGGTGGTAGACTACCTCAGGTCGGCTTGTTTGTTTTCCAAAAAATATGGAGAAAGTCCTGGGAAGACCAAACGATCCACCCAAATTCAGAGCTCCAGGCCCTGGGAAGTGCCTTGCTGGGCTTTGAGCCCCCGCTGCAGATGCCCCGCCCCCTCACTTCCGTGCTCGGATGCGAGATGGAGAGATTCTGGCAAGCGAGCAAAGCATTTCAGTTTCTGCCAGGTCTGGCTGTGGCCGTCGGGCAGGGCCACTCTCTTTGAGTCTCAGCAAACGGCTCAGGCCACCCTCTGGGGCCGCGGCAGCCTCCGTGGAGGCTGGGCCTGGCGTGCCCCCCCAGTGCGCAGGCTGGCGCGCTGCCGCTCCAAGTGCCATCCCCACGTGTGTGCAGCCCCTGGCACTCGCTGCACGCGTGGGCTGCCACGTGGCGCCGGGAGAGCCAAGAAGATCCGGCCGCCGTCCAACAGGAGGGCAGGCAGATGGAGTGAGTGACTCAGCACGGAGGCCAGCTGTGGCCAGATGAGAAGAATAAACAGAGAGGCCGGAGGCCAGACCTGCCACCGTGCCCCTCAGAGCCGGGCAGGAACGGCGGGAGCCTGGGGGGTGACAGACAGACAGGGATGAGCATGGGGGAGATGGATGGCCCTGTCAGGCTCAGTGGAGTGAGGAAAGCCAGACAGATGGTCTCCTTAAAGAAACCAGCCCGCAGGAGGGAGCAGGGCTTTGCACTGCCGTGGGGGGCCCGAGGCAGGCTCCTTCCAGACAGGGGCTCCTCCTGGCCTGGGTCGTTCCAGCTGGGGCTTGCATGCTGCCCTCATTCTGTCTAAGGTGGCCCCAGGTGTGCCCACTGCTGGGACCAGCCGTTTAGAAGCCCTGGCCACAACAGGTGGGCCATGAAGTCCTTGCCCTGATCTTCTGTCCCAGCAAAGCCCCCGCCCCGCACTCAGCTCCTCGTTGCTAATACCACTGTTGAGCATCTGTCACCCATGGCACCATACTGGGCATTCTAGCTGCATCACCTCCACGCTGCCTTTGCTGTCCCCTAGACTGGAACCCTCTCTCCCCAGGTCCCCACATGCTCTTTCTCAGGGGTCACCTCCTCCAAGAGGCCCGCCCTGACCTCCCCCTCTGAAGTGGCCCCATCACTCTCTTGTCCAGGACACTGTTTAGTTGTATCATAACTTCATCGCTAATCTGAATTTATCTCATCCTTTTACTCCCCGGCTTGTCCCCTGATAAGACAAGAGGGCCTCCAGGGTGTGGGCCAGGTCTGTCTTCTTCTTGGCTGTGTCCTAGGTCCTACAACAGTGCCTGGCATGTAAATGTGTGTGGACTGAATCCTCTCAGCCCAGAGAGGGCCTGCCTGAGCCCCGTCTTCTTTTCCTGCTCAGCACTTCCAGCTGTCGCTCATTCTGTGTATTTGTCTTCTTTATCTGCCGTCTCCCCA